AAAAAAAAAAAAGAGACAACTTTCAGGCCTAGGCTTGACCAATAACTTAGCCTTTGAAAGCCCGTGTTATTTGTTTTCTGGGGTTTTCCATTGGTAAGTCGTACCTTTGTGGGTTGGTGTGGAGGCAGGGACAGGTCATACAGGAGTACATGAATGTATCTCCAGCAGACTGTCCCCAAGCTTGCAAACCCATTAGAGCACATGGGGCGCCATGTAACAAGCGGGGAGACAGATGTGTGTGCAAATATACCCTCCATGATCTACACCTCTCTCTCTGTTTCTCTGTTGACTGATTTAACCTTCGGCGTTAACACCTCAACGCCGGCGGGGGTCGGGCGCGTTGGTGAACGAGTGAAACCCGTCAGGCGTTAAGGGAAGGGGACCGCCAGAGAAATACAAGAAAACAGTATTGATTTTTTACTGGACTATGGGTGAAGCATAAAATGTCATACAAACAGGGATACGGCAAGTTCCATTTCCGAGTCGAAGTGGGGGAAAAAACAGGAAATGGCGACCTTTCATAACTCCGTTCTCACCTCACGATCCCCTGGGCTGAGGGGATTTCAGGCTCGCGCGGCCGGGGACGCGTTCAAAGTCACGTCGCGATGTGGAGCACGGAATCCCACTGCGGGCCCTTCAGCTGGGAGCAGTATTTGGTTTTGCTCAGTTTCATGATGGAAAAGAGCTGTTCGCAAATGTAGGTGCTCCCGAACATGGACAGAATCTTGGCGCAGTGGACCCTGTACTTGGGGTAGGTGCTCCACAGGTACTTGCAGAACTCCGGGACCCCGACCTTGTCGTATTTCGTCTTGAGCACCGTGTTGCACTGCAGGTCAATGACCTCCATCTGGAGCGCTTCGTGCACGCTCTCGATCTTCACCGAGAAAGGGGAGCTGAACAGGGCCAGTTCGCTTTCGTAGAGTTTGAAGTCGGACAACCTTTTCTGGAATTCAGTCTTTAGTTCCACGATCTTGGGAATGTAGTTCAGGCCGTCGCTCTCGTTTCTGGAAACCGACTTCAGCGTGGGGAAGTGGGCCAGGTTGTTCCTCGCCAGGTGAGTTTCCCAAAGGCACAGTTTGGCGAGGAACGCCCGGATCAAGTCGTACATCTGCGTCACGACCTGCGAGTGCCCTTGCAGGGACATGTTCAGGGTGTTCAGATGCGTTGTCATATCGACCAAGAAGGCCAAGTCTCGGATCCAGTCCTGAGAGCTCAGCTGAGGTAGGGGCTTCCCTCTGGATGACATGAAGTGATCGATTTCCTCCAGCGACTCGAAGAACCTCTTGAGCACCAGCCCGCGGCTGAGCCACTTAATCTCGGTGTAATACAGCAGGCTGCCGTACTGGCTCTCCAGTTCATACAGCAGAGTCGTGAACTCGCTGTGGTTCAGGCCACGGGAGCAGATCCAGTGCACGGAGCTCACCACCACGCTCATCACGTGGTCCATCTTCAGCTTTTGCGCACAGAGGGACTCCGGGTGGATGATGCAGCACACAGACTTCAGGTCCGAGTCCTTGCAAACCGTTGCCACCTTGGACTTGAGTTTTGTGACCAGTCCGTCGTTCACGTCTACCATCGCGGGGGTGCCGGTTGAGGCCACGCTTACCAGTTTTGACCAGTCGATGTGAAACTTCTTAAGACTTCTCTCGACCCGCAGAAACATCTCGTGGCCGGATTTTGTACCCGTCATGGGCACCGTATCCAAAAGCTCCTCCGACGCGTCGAAATTCTCGTCCACGCCACGGATGAATATGGCCAGCTGGGTGGTGTTGTTTATGTCCGTGATCTCGTCGATTGCAATGGAATAAGCCACAAACGACTTGATTTTTTCACGTAACTTCTCCCATAATTTCCCAGCCATGTCTTCTACGGGCTGCGCGGCAGCGTTTTCGTCGGGACTCGCGTTCGCAAACACCTGTTTCTGCTCGGGACCCGCGATTTCTGAGGACCCCAGGAGGTACTTCCTGAGTCCTTTCTTCAGCTCGTGGAGCTTCTCATCACGCAGCTTCTCCGTGTACTGGTCGTAGTGCTTACTGTGGTTCGTCTGATAGTGACGTCGGAGGTTGTATTCTTTGGACACCGACATGCTCTGTTTGCATATTAAACACGTAGGAATGTTCTGCACTTCCACGAAGAAATACGCTCTCTCCCACTTTTCTTGAAATACGCGGCCCTCCTGGTCTATCTTTCTCTTTCCCACTTTTGATAGAGACACGGAGACAAGAAATAGTTCACTTTTTCTCTTTACGAAAAATGATTGCAAAAGCATGATGATAAATGTCAGGGGTAAAGTGGCTGGGGGATGGGCATGGTTAACCCACCCCTGTGGAGAGGGACGGCCAGACCCTCCGCTCCAGCGAATTGCCTCTGGAGGGAACGTGGGCCCACGGTGGCCAGATCTTCAGATTTCTAAAGAAACCTTGGAGGGACTCCTGGGTGGCTCAGTCGGTTGAGCTTCCGACTTTGGCTCAGATCATGATCTCAAGGTCCGTGAGCTCGAGCCCCGTGTTGGGCTCTGTACTGACCGCTCAGAGCCCGGAGCCTGCTTCAGATTCTGTATCTCCCTCTCTCTCTGACCCTCCCCCGTTCATGCTCTCTGTCTCAAAAATAAATAAACATTAAAAACAATTAAAAAAAAATGGGGCGCCTGGGTGGCTCAGTCGAGTGACCAACTTCGGCTCAGGTCATGATCTTGCAGTTTGTAAGTTC